TAAGTTCCTGCATCTGGTTCCTACTGGCCCTTTTATACTCAAGTTGATTTTTTATCATTTGAACCCGAGGAAACCCCTCATAACCACGTAATTTTGATTATTTTATTAGGTCTATTAAGACATTTATATCCTATAATGACATCGTCTTTTTTAAAAACATTTACCAACTTTTCAAATATATTTTTAATATAAGGTAAAACAATTAGTTTTTTTTATCAGAAGGGCGGGTATCAAAGTTAAAAGATCCATTAAATTTTTTCGAGATAGAATTCTTAATTCTAGCTTTAATGTTAGTAAAAATAAAATCAAAAGGATAACCGTTATCGAGTAGTGTTGACAAGAAAATTAATATTTTTGTCGTGAAAGTCAGGGTGTGATAAAAGAAGTGCTCGGTCAATAAGGCTAAAAATTGTGCCTCTTTTGTGGCACAACGGGAAAAGTAAGAAAAAAGTCTTCCCGAAAAAGTTTTCTTATGAATCAAAAAGGTATCCACGGCTCCAAATATTCAAGATGATTACAAATTCAAATGTGAAGGCCAATCGGAGCAACAAACACGGGTGTACGTGTGTTGAAATCTATAAATTTATTGCAAAAATTGTACAAACGTTTCGACCGAGGATTCGGTCCTTATCAATGTGTATCTAATAAAACAAATCGAATAACAATCTTTTAAAAGGTATTACACAAAGCATTTTTTGAACACAATAATTTAATGATAGTAAAAATATTAAATACGTACAAATTGTTAAGGGTAATGTTCAATCAGTCACGACTACATGTTTGAAAAAATAAAAATTAAAAATTAAAAATTAAAAATTAAACCGTCAAAAGAAATGTCAATAGTAAAATTTGTCAAAAACATGACTAAACACAATCGTGGTCCAAGTAAGTCTGAGCAAATTGATATTCAAAATTTACACACAAACAACTCCACGCTATACATTCAAATTACCGATCAACGGTAAATAGCTAATATCTAACAATTCTGTATCGCTCTGCAAGTTCAACTAATTTTTTTGACTTTTAATATGAAGCATTTCAGATACGAGACGTTTATAATATGATAGCTCCATGTCCAGAATATCAATGTTGTCCCAGTCAAAATCATGTGAACAAGTGATTCTGTGCTCAGTAATAACAGAATTCTGCGTTGTGTTTCTTTTAATATGATTTTTATGTTCACGTATTCTGGTCTGCAACATTCTACGGGTTTGCCCAACATAAGATGCATCACAATCCTTACAATTAATCCTTTATATCACATTAGATTTTATCAAAGACGGAAGAGAATCTTTATGCACTTTAATCCATTTAGATAAATTACTAAAACCCGTAAAAGCCATCCTAGTATTGTTATTATGCGGTAAACAATAATTCATTCTCTCAGCTACGTTTTTTATG